ATTGAGTTGGTCCAGCACCCAGTCTCACCCTGACCGGGGAATTTGGTAGAGGAAGTAGACAAATTTCGCAATCTGGGCAGCTGTATCTTACCTAATGAACGCATCACAGATGAAGTGTCTGTTGGTGCTATGCAGCGAATGTGTGGATCGTATCTGTGTTGATCAGTAGTGACATTCCATTAGACGAAGAATTATGAATTTAAATGCACTGGAACGGACTATTTATCAGGTTCTCATCAACTGGTCTAAATATGTGAGAATGCGAATATGTGCGAATAGGTGAGGTCATCCGCATGAAACCCTAGACCCCGGAACCATGTGCTCAGAAGTGTCCAATCCGAAGCTCTCCATTTTCCCTGGGTTCACGAATCTTCCTCTTCCCCCGGCCCCATACACACATTACACGTATAGATGGAACCCTGTCCTGCGATGTGTAACACGCCCTTAAACACAATAATAATCCGTTCCACACAAGCTCATCTTATCCTCCCCCAAAACCCTAGGTTGTATCCACATATGTCAATCGTAATGGCACAATTGGGAATTACGAAAAACAATTGTTCGCTTGAAATTTTCTGACCACGAGTATGGTCATTTTCTGAATGGTAAGAAATCTGTTTATGCACATGTCAGACAATCGATGCCTAACGAGAGTGCGTGAAGCGATACCGAGCATTTTTCAGCACCCTCCTTCGTTACATCCTCTCTATCCAGCTGACACAATTGTATTTGGCTACCGGCACGAGCTTGTCATAAGGCCCATCCATCCAATCGGATAATTATTTGTCCACTGATCACAACTCTCAATCGATGTACCGAGATGGGGGGATTGTCTTTCCCATAGTCGTTTCTCTACCACCTGTATACTCAGTCATATTAGTAACCGCATCATCATTGATTAACGCAGCAGGATTGAGTGTTTCCGTCCACGGTCTGGTATAGTTGATGTCACCAAACAGAGCAGTAGTGCGTATCAGCGAATAACATCAATTTGCATGGTGCACTGTCAGGCGTCTGCTTCACTGAGGGGTTGGCCCAGCCCCCATCTTCACTCTAATTAGGTAAGCGGCAGAGGAATTCGAAAAATGTTGTTATATGAGCAGCTGCATCTAGCCTATCGGACGCGTCACAAATGAAGTGTCGGCAAGCATACAGAAGGCTCGATTGACATTTGCCTACTTCAGACATTTGGGGCGCGGTTGCGGCATTTGGCGGTGCGTGAAGGATCGAGTATGTGCTGCAACAGTTCGACCACTTCTGCTACACGTCAGGGTGCGCCATACACACGCACAAACCCGATACGACTGAAGTAAACGAGGCTCCGATAGGAACTCAGTGTGTTGCTAGGGTTTTTGGCCAACTCCCCTTCGTGAACTACCAGTGGTACGCCAATCCGGTTACAGCCCCGGATATCGGCTATTCGTCCCCTCACTTTTTTTGGAAAACACCTTCGCCACGAAAAGGCAGTAAGTGGGGCTTCCTCAGAAGAGGCTGTTTGAGACGCTTGGTTGTATGGGAGTATTCCGCAAGGTGCAAATAAAGAGTGACCAGCCACAACCCTAGGCACCCACCCCCGACCATACTCAGACTTTCGGAGGCGTCCTATTCTGATAGAACAGTGTGAGCCGTCAGTTAATTGTTTTGCAGTTCCTACCTTTACGCAGCCACCCTAGGTGTCCCCACTTACAGGTAAGTAGCTCTTTAATAGCTGTGGTAACCTTCCTGGTTGTCAGCTGTACAATTATAGCATATCGAATAAATGGAGTTAAAATATTATCATCGTCATAATCGAATCGGGTTGCCCACGTGAATGCTTATAAGTTCTGTGCTTTGATTGTGATTGTCCACGCCTTCCCTCAATCCAGTCATCCATCCACTCAATGTTGAAGCTGTTTTTAACGTTCTTCGGTACTTCTCTTTATTAGTTATGCATTTCCCGACGGGTAACAAGCGACATATGGTTATCGATTGTTTAGACCCGGTTCAATGGATCAGTAATAGTGCTGGCTGGAATAATGATGATAGAGCGCCTATTCACACCTTGGCGGATCATCATTCTAGAACAAAGACGTGTTTGATGACCTATTGTCCGTAATCAGGAAAACCTGTACAGGTTGAAAAACCGACAGACAGACCAAGTTTCTGAATTTCTGATGTTACTGACCTTAATGTGGGAACGTNNNTTGTTCAACTGGACCCATAAATGAGTCACGTGGATACTGATTTTTCTATCTCGGGTACAAATCGTCCCGGTCAAACTTTCGAACTGTCGAGTAATATCACATTTGTTCTCCATCATATTCCACTCCATTTCAGTTGGCCATCCCGTTGGTCATTGCGTTGATCGTTCTGCACTGTTTGTTCTGTATCGGACTCATGGTAAGTTCTACGCTCGTTAGCTGGNCGCGAGTAATTGGTTATTCCTTTTTCTCCTCACTTAATTTTTTTGTGTGTGGATTTGGCAACTTATTTCACATCGGTCCAATAGGCAGTACAATCATCCGAGTAGTCGATAAGTGCGAGCAACGAAGTGTCCATTGATTGGATGCAAGCTTATTTGTTATCCCGAACTGTTTCTATACAGTGACCTGGTTTTCTTGCTCCTACTCCAACTAGAAAAAAACTGAAATCACTAAGTGTCCCGATCCCGATGTCGCGGTGGCTTGTCAAGTCAAGAAGCGGCTTTGATTTACCCCATGGGGTATGAACATTCGGCTACTACACAATCACTCTTCTAAAGTGGAAATTGCATGGTCAAAAAAGGATGATGAAGATGATGATACGCTACATATACAAACAAATGAGGGCAATTTATCAAAGATTTTTTTTGAGGGTCTCAATGACAAAGTTGGCGTTAGTAAAAAAAACCTGCTTTTGAAAATGGCAAGGTTATAAGAGCTGGAAAACACGGAAATGGGAAGAGTGTTCCACAATTTTTCAGTCCTCGGAAAAAAAGAAGATTGAAAGATAGAAGTCCGACATCTGGGGACGGAAACCTGATAAGGGTGACTGGTCGCCTGAGAACGAGATGGACGAGAGAAGGTCAATGGAGAGGGAACCGCTGAAGCGAGTTCGGATGAACAGAAACCAAAATAGTAACGATAGACAAGAGATAACGAAGCAACTGCCCGGTGATGGGCAAGTGACTGCAAGGTGGAAGTTAAAGACGGTTCCTCGATCAGAGAGAGAGAGAGAGAGGCAAGTGTAGAAATAAAAGGGGACCAACAGAGAGGAGAATTTATGGATAAACCTAGGAGAAAGAGAGAATTTGTGGAACGAAGGGGCAGAGAATCAAAAATCGATTTAGGATAAAGGAGATACGTTTAAGAGAGACTGAAAGGAGAGAAGTTTTGGAAGCATTGAAACACACATGGTTGATAGAACCCCATGCGAAGATTAGTCCAAGATCAGAAACAAGAGAAGCACTAATGACATTACGTTCGTGATCGATGTTGGTATCAGTCTGACGGATTGCGGGGTAGGACAGAGAACAGTGGAGAGTGGCATCATCGGCAAAGCAATGGATAGGATTAGATGTTTGGGATAAAAGATCGTTCATAAATAAGAGAAAGAGGGTGGGCTATGTGCTTATACTTGGAGCGAGTGCTAGATGTAGAAATACATTGACTAAAGTGGGCATACAGCGGGTGAGATGGGTCAAGTAGTATTCTGGTAGAAAGTTTCTGGCAAGCCCTAAAGTGCTGTGAAATAATAAACTGCACAACATGCTCACGAGATGTGCCGCTGTATTGACATATGTGTTTGATGGATGTACGTATGAGTTTACAGTCTTTGGTCAAACGAGCCGGAAAAACTACTGGGAATGCATAAAGCCAGTGGGGAATGATACAAGAGAAAACAAAACGTTTTATTAAGTGAGTTGGGATAGATAGCATTTTCAAACCTATATTGATGGATGCGCTTCCGTGTGTACGGAAAATGCAATCGACTCTCGTCTGTGTGTATGTCGCATTGACATTACGTACATCTCTAGACTAAAAGTGCTGTTTTTGTTGTGGCTGTTGAAAGACTTATTGCATACCGCGGAACGGATTATGGCTCTTGACTCGCTTTCCCCTGTCCCTTTGTCGTCCCCAGAGATGGGAAAGCGATTTCTCCAAAGGGGTGCCTAGGAATTTAGTCCGCGATATACTTTGCGGTAGCCCATACCGACGAAGGAGTTTTTCTTTGGGAACCCTAACCAGAATCTTCGTCTCAAGACTCTAACTTACAAGGCAGTGGGGCGTAAATCCAACGTGGGAGCGTGACCGAAGCACCCGCTTGGGAGCTTCTAGAGACCTGTCACGCAAGGCCTTCGGATTTCGGTTCAGTGTGTTGTTCGCTGGTGCGTTGATTGTCGATCCGCTGTTCGGATTGGCCCTTAGTCTCATGCACCCAATGAGACAAGTGGAACGTAGATGGGACAGCACCTTATTGGTTGGGTGTATGCCGCGGCAGTTCGGTCAGTGCTGCTATAGGGCGCAGAAACGTGGCCATTAGGGAAACAGGATAAAGACAGACTGTCGGTGTTTGAACACCGCTGTTTACGCAGCATTGCACGAATCTGGTGGGGCAGCCGGACAAGTAATGCTGAGTTTAGGCGCAGAGTTTTGGGTAACCGCTGTCGCCCACTGGAGCAAGTTGTTGACCTGCATGGATTACGTTGGTTGGGGCATGTGTTACGCATGTCCCCAGATGGGTTACCACGGCGAGCGATTTTTTCCGAGGCAGGTAGTGGGTGGAAAAAAGCCCAGGGTGGTCAAGCTAAGACCTGGCACGAGGGTATGAAAACTATGTCCAGGGGACTGTGTCACATAGGTCCCGTTAGGCTCCCTGACTGGGGACCTCGGGATGATCGTAACGACGAGTAAAGACACAGGGATATGGTTGAGTGTCGTAAACAGTGGCAACCTTATACCACTGAACTTCTCCATTCTATGTTCGACCCTACTTTCAACTTTCCTGTCCTCTCCTATTCTTCATCCAAATTTGCAGCCGAAAGACAGCAACCAAAACCGGCGCATGAAAGTCCATCTGTAATGGTTGTACAAACTGAAACTGAAACTGACCAGGGACTAAACTACGATAGCAACCTTCTCGTATGTCACCTGTAAAGTTGTGTGCGCACTTTGTTCTGCCGTGCTGACACATATTACCATTGCAAAGAACTCCGGTATGCGAAACAAATCCATCTTTTCTACCTATTTCATACTACTACGTATACGTGGGTTGTCACAAGCTGTCGATTGCATCTCTCGCCGTTTGGGTGTCACACTTAGGGTAGACAGACAATCAACTATGTGCTTGCCCATGTAAACATACTTGCACAGATCCGAATTCACTCCTTTGGAACCACTGTGCAACGACAGGTCAGATTCAATGACTCAAAATAAGGGACAAGGGCCAAATGGGAGGGGAACGCCTGAGGTGCTCCATTCGATCAAGTCATTCAATCGGCACGTCGAAATCCATCAACAATTTGCAACAACTGTACGAGTAGGTGCACAAAAAATCACAACACAAAGCACAAGTCGACTCAGTTTAAGCACACACACACACGAATGAGACGGAATTTTACCCGAGCAGCATGAAATGCGTCTAATTTTACTCCAAACTGTTGGTATCTGTAGGCTTAGTCTTGTTTTACTTATCCTTAAAGTTTGCCCTATGAGTAGCTCTATAAGTGCTCACCTCCATCCCTCCCCGGCCGATGAAAATGCCTGTGCCGAAGTGATGATTGCAGTTAGTGAATCAGGTTAAAGATTCTACAACTGTTCGAAACTGTTCCACTGAACCGATGACTCGAACTGTGAGGTTAGTAACAACAGACTTGAGTTTCTGGTTCCTCTGACGCTGTGTTGTTACTTGGATCTGCTGCGGTACACATCCCATTGCGCTGTTTGAATTATCAGTTGTTTACTGTGCGTTTGAAGGTGTATTGACTGTTGAATGGAAGAGGAGATTGAGTCGGGAAAACTGTTTCACTTTTCAAATAATTCATAAAATCCGGCCATTAGAAAAGCCTTGGGAAACACTTTTGAGAACAATTCAGTGCTATTAGGCGATATTTGCTTTAAAATGTGAATGTGAATGCGGAACTGCAACGCGAAATCCGTGAGAACAACGGGAGTTTGTGAGTGATTGCCCAGTGACGGGTGTGATAAGTGAGACAGAACGAGGAGCGGGACTGGGGGAGGGAAACAAATCTAAGATTCCTGTTTTCAAAGTGGCCGTGTCGCTCCGTAATGGTATTTCGCAACACGTCTGAATCCAGACTGTGTCCCAAGCAAATCATAGTGCGGTAATCTTGATAAAAAAGAGAAAGCGACAAGATTTATTTGTGGGTGGAATACTGCCAAGTTGTCCAGGTCAAGACAGGTGAATTTTCTTGGGGAGTTCGCAACCAGAGCCTTCGGCTAGACAACACCTGAATCATGAGGTAGCGAGGTGGCGTGTGTAAACCGCAATCCATTGGGGGGCCGGTGTCCAGTTCATCAGATCATACGCCTTTTGGATGGGGGCAAACATCCGGAGTGCCTTATACACCTTGATACCCAATCGAGACAGTGACCACTGCCACAACCAAGAAGGTGTGGGTGGTTCGTACGCCTCTTGTTTGGTTTGGAGTCACCAACTTCCCTACGTGAACTTCCAGTGGTTAAGCGACCCTGTTATAGCCATAAATGTTGCTTTTCGTCCGCTCATTTTGTTGGGAAAACACCTCCGCCACAAGAAGGCAGTGACTATGGTTTTCTTAGCAGAGACTGTTTGAGACGCTTGGTTGTACAGAAGCATTTCGTGTTAAGCAGAGCTGAGTGCTACTAGGCGCATCCCCAGGTTGTGGATAGGGGGATACCTTCACCGGCTTATCCTTTCCAAGGAGCCATCCGCTGTAAAGTAAAGTAATTTCATGAGATGCATGTAAAGCTTAACCAACCATAACCCGAGACACCCAGCCCCGACCATACTGAGGCCTTTGTAGGTAATATAGTTATAGTTTGCCTTATCCAAGCGGAACAGAAATATGATGGTCCCACCGTATGACTTTGATTTCACTGGGAAGCAAAGGGCACTGGAATAGTGTGCTTCTCTGCAGAAACAGGCATGGCAGTTCAATCCAATGCTGTTCCGATTGAATAGCGGGTTCGTGTTTCCCTAACGCAGATCAAACCTGCGAGTAGAGAGTGAACGGTGTGCATCGTTGCTGGACATCAGAATTCCTTCACAGAAACACTTGACTATGATGCTGCAGGTCAATGTGATATGTTGCGTTTACTCCCGTGTAATAGCTAATCTCTATGCAGTTATTGTTTAAAAACAAGGCTGAGAGCCAGGTCAGACGTCGATAGGCTAAATTCCACTTGTTCAATATATTGAAAGAATACAAATATCGCGAGATGTGTTAACATTTCGTTAAATCTTCTCAATCGCTTACTTAAAACAAACAAGCATATATGAAGCACATGGGATTATTCAGTTATGTTGAATAAACGTGTACAAGCATACAACGGTCACTAAAAATAGAAGTAGAAGGTTCACTCCACCGTGAGTGGATTGATTGTATCAAAAACGTTTGTGCGCCACACACTTCCCGTTTCCATGGTATGCGCCACTCATATATGATGGTCGTTATTTTATTAAGTTAGTCGTTCATTTGCAACAAACAGGTAAATAACAATTGATCCTAAGTGCATCTGTGCTAACGTTACGCTGCTTTCGGTATCGTCCCAACGTTCCTAATGGTACACGAACCAGGAACACTTGGGCAATGGTTTTTGAACTCTCTCTCTGTGTTTCTCTTTTTCGTCATTTAGGTGACATTTTTCCACGGTTCCGGACCCCTTCCGCCCATGTCGGCTCCCGTGGCTCCGGTCGTTCCGAACGCGGTACCTGCGATACAACCGAATGTCGAATCACAAAAATTGGCCCCCGTTGTAAAACGTGACGCGCCCGTACCTGTCCACGCAACTCCTGGTGCTCGGCCGGATTAGTGGGTCCGGGCATGAACTGCACGATTGCCGAACTTGTTTTCATTGCACACGCGTGTCACAAATCTGACTCTGACTGTACTACTGTGATAGTTTCCTCGCCCACCTCCCCCGTGTCTTGTCTAAAATGCTGCCCATTTCACCCGCAGGTCAAGGAGTTTCACTCTTGCCTGTGTTCTGTTTTCGCGCGCTCTCTTTTCACTCGTTCGGTCTGTCTGATCTGTTTTTTTTTCCACCTTGTTTGTTAAAATTGTTGGGAATTTTCACTTCGTGCAACATACACACACACACACACACGCACATGCGAAATCAGATAAAGTATGAAACCAACCTGCAGAATGTGCATATCGAGATCCCCGTGGATGTTTTAGCGGTGCTCTCCGGGTGACCACATGTGTATTCATTACATGAATTGGCTGTCCCAGACAGAATGTTTGATGCTATATTACCATATGAAATCAGAAGTTTTACTTTCTTTTTGCCACATTAGTGATTAAGTATATCCGTCACACGTTCCGCTGGGCGTGAGGATCTGGTGGGTGACGTCGGGAGTCACCGCAGGGATGGGGCCTGACGCATGCATCAGGGTGGGAAAATTAGCGAACAGGTCACCGTACGAATCCTTAGGGAGAGATTCGATGTGGAGCAGCGTGATTGAGTTCATGGAACGAACCGGTTACAAAGCGGTTGGTGTGGCCGCCTACTAACCTACCACGTTTTGGATCGGACATAAGGTCGAAATGCTTCNGAGTTCGATGCCTATGATGGGAAATGGGACCACTGCGACCAAGAACACCCAACGGAAAGTGCGACGGAGACCGAGGTTCAATGTTAGGGACTTTCGGCCATACATAGAAATGGGGGTGTCGTTCGCAGAGCAAAGTTGACAGGGTACGGGGGTGGTTGGGTCACCAGAACTCGGCGGGATAACACTGACTTCCGCGCCTGTGTCAATGAGGGACTGAGTGCTACTGGTACAATCCCTAGCGTGAATAAGGCAAATAATTAGNCCCACCGAGTTTGTCGCCACAGCCGGTCGGCTTGTGCCAGGGAAAGTGTATCCAGCTTCGCACCCTCGAGTCTTGGCCCCGTATTTCTGGTGGTACCAACAGTAACCCGCGGGGTAAAGTGCTAGAGCACTTTGGAGGTGATGGGGAACGATTATGGGATTTGAACCGGGAACGTGATGCATTACCTTTCCCCTCACTCGTTGTTGGACAGACGATCGACACATCATGTCCATTTTGTTCTTCAATGGAGAATAAGAGACTACACGGGAAACCGCGACAAGAGTGGTTATATCAGTGAACGTTGGGTTTTGGGCTACCACGGACACCTGGGGACAAAGTTGGAGCATTACTTCATGGGCAATGGATGTCGCAACCGTCAGAGAGGACTTACAGGCGGACACCACAAATGCTTGTACGTCCTGGGGGTTGTCACTACATCCACAGCTAACTCAGGATCTCCCCAGTGGTAGAGGATGGTCCTGTGGATTGCTGTATCTCGAGCAGCAAGGCGGATGAAGTGCGATCTCCGAATGATTGGTCTTTAAAAAGATGCTGTATGCGCTCCACGTCGTCGGAGGTACGTTTGATAACGGCCTCTTTTAAGACGGAGTACTTGGGGTGGTCCATGATGATGTCATGCATTTGCTAGGCAATATCATGGGGGAGCTTACTAATCGTCCAATTCGTCTTGTGATGATCGGCTGTAATACCGGCATTCTTGAATTCAAATTCGAGAAACCGGAATCAAACGCTTGGCTGGCGGTAATGAAATCCGGAAGACGATGCCGGGTCTAGCATGTTATCGAGGTTCATGTTGCTGATAAAACACCGAATAAAACGACGGAAACGTCAAAGTACTAATTCATTTTAAAATAAACAATAGAATCAATAAATCGGGGATACAGGGATGGACTCGCCGATGATTCGTGGAACTTGAATCTACAAACATTCGGACTCACCAAATTATTAGGGTAACACCAGCTCCGTGCGGTTCCGATTGTTTCATCCCAATGATTTGATCGGCCCACGACACGCCCTGCGAGTCGCAACGACGGCCCAACACGACCAAGCGATCTCAACAGCCCACATTAACGAAATCGAAGGCAGAATGTGAGACCTGAACCAAACACTATTTGAACGTGGCATCACACAGTGCACTGAACGATCAAGGTGGAAGTGTGTGGAAGCAACGCGCGTCAACATTCAGTAGTACAAGAAGGTGACGTAAATCACGAGTGACAAAACAGTGTCATTTTAATGCCCTTCCCCCTAGAATGACACCGGAGTTGGAATTCGATAGTGTACATGACGCAGGGAGCCTTGTCTCCTTTTTCGCGGGCGATATTCTGAATGTCGCCCACCGCGACGCACCAATGCAACGGATCCGGCACTATGTTTTCCATGCCTCATCCTCTGTCCGGTTTCTTGTTACTAAGGCTCTCAACTCTGTTTAGGGATAGGTTCCTTTATTCGGGGTCTTCTGAAGACGACTCAAGTTTATTGTTAGTCCTGTCTCTTCCTGTTGCCTGAGTTTCTCCGTCGGCTTTTGGGGATCCAAAGTGAATGACCATCCAGTTGGAAAGACCGCCGGGCCTCAGCGCGATCCAAGTTGGCGATTCTCTGAGTGCGGTCGTTGACCATCGCAGATGAACCGCGAGGTTGCTACGCGATTATCAGAGTCGATCGAGCGCATTGTTCAGGGTACAGTATGATGTTCCATACGCTTGAAGTCAGCATAGTCAAGCCTAGAAGGAAGCCAGTTCGCCTAGTTGGAGGGCAATGTGCAACCGTGGACCAGTTGCGCTTCGGTGACATATACCGTCATCTCGGTGCACGTTCTGGTTTTTTTCGCCGTTCTGCATTCGCATTTACCAAGTGAAAAGTGAACTTCCTGGATGGGGACCACAGGATCATGATTCTGGTAGTCCTCTCTTCTTACCTCTCTGCCGTGACTACCAAACGACGGTGGTCACTTCCGGAGTACCCAGAGCAGTTTTTATTGTCTTTGGACGACTATCACCGTGATAGTTTGGTGAGAGAGGAAGCCGGCTGATGGACGGGTTAACGACATTATGATATTCTAGTAGATCTTGTATGCATCTCTATTCATGGAAATCGTTCGGGTAAATTTCGGATTTCTTTGCATCTTTCATCTCTGGGTGTCCGTGGATGAGCACGACCCCGTTGATTTCAGTCTCCTTTGTCCTATTCGGACTAGCCCTCCAGTTCATGCGCTCCGTCCATGGTCGTCTGCCAGGTAGGATCCTTATTTTAGCCTAACTGTTTTTCACAAGGTTATCATAAAGGAGTGTGATTTCGACGTCGACAAGTTGGTCTTTGATACGCATCCGGAAATCGCAAGTAAACTGGTGTGATTGAAGCCACACTAAAGGGGACGGGTTGTGTCTGTCTGCGTTTTCTTAGACTTATCTCTGAGAGACTGGGGGAAAACTAAGTACTCACTTGTTTGTTTTGGAACTTGACCGCCATCAGGGTACGGATATCGTGATTTATATTCACAGCAGACATTGGGCCGAACGAGTAAGAAAATTATTCTGAAAGACGGAATCTGCAGTGATAATTCCTTGTATTATTAATAGCATTTGCCATATATGAACTTTACCCCAGTGCATAGTAAATATAAACCCTAATTCTTAATGATTGTTTTATTAGTGGGGATAGGTGGCTGATTATACCCCTCGTGTTTATAACTTTACACCTGGTGTGACCAACCTTCAAACAGGTTAGATGTCTTGTTACGCTGTCTCATGACACTGATGTAGGCTCACCACCCTCTGGATTACATTCGGTATTTGGATGGATATGATGGTCAAAGCATTGTATATCTATATGATTCTGTACAGACTTCTATTTCTTTGCTTCCGCTTATCAGCTTCTGTTGATGTGATCGTCACTACGCACACGTTTCTATAGAGCGTGAAATGTTCTTGTGTCGTAGTCCGAGGAACCAATTTGTCGCATGCAAAGTGTCCACTGTGGAGAAAACCTGTTTACGATTCCGGAAAGCGAGTGCGACGCATGATATACCAACCCGAAGACGTATCTGACGTATATATGAATATCTTTTCACTTTAGTTCTTACAACCATTAACCTTGCACCTTCGTGCGCCGGTTTTGGTTGCCCATTTGGATAAAAAAGCACAAGGATCACTAGAATGTTGAGAGCAGATTCAAACAGAAGATAGCGCATTTTCATAGACTGAAGTTACAAGAATAATGAGTAGATACATGAGCGCCACTGTTTGCGACACCCAGCCATATCGCTCAGTGTCTCTAACCATCAGTGACCATCATCTAGGGGTCCCCAGCCAGGGAACCTAACGGGACCTACATGAGCCAGTCTTCTGGTTAGGGTTTTCATACCCTCATGTCAGGTCTTCGTTTGACCCCCCTTGATTTTTTTCCAACAGCTACCTGTCTCGGCAAACATTGCTCGCCGTGGCAACCTATCTGGTGACATGCGTAANGCGTAATCTGTGGAGGTCGACTACCTGTTTCAGTGGACGACCGCTATTAGCTGAAACTCTACGCCTAACCTCGGCATTGCTCGTCGGGTTTCCCCACCAGACTTGTGCAATGCGACGTAGACAGCGGTGTTCAAACACCGACAATCTATTTTCATTCTGTTCCCATAATGGCCAAGTCTCTGCACCGTAGAGCAGGACTGGCCGAACTGTTGCAGCATATACTCGGCCCTTCACATACAACCGGATGTCGCGATGGGGCCACAGATGTTTCAAGTTGGCAAGTGCCAACCGAGCCTTCTGTATGCGCACCGACACTTCATCTGTGATGTGTCCGCCAGGTGAGATATAGCTGCTACTTTCTCTACAACTTCCCCGATCAGGGTGATGCTGGGGACTGGGTCAACCCAATGTTGGAGCAGCATTTTACACTTTGAAGGTACAAAACGCATACCGAACATGACTACATTAGCACTAAAACTATCCAGAAAAGCTTGCAACTTACCTG